AATATTGAAATTAGTGTTATGAAACTCAGAGGATAATTTGAGAGTACTAGAGATAATTGGACCTGGGCATGGAAAAATTGGCCCCTGGCCCAAATGATTATGGTTTACGTAAGTGTAAATAATCTTATCAGTACTCAAAAAATAGCACTTGGACAAAATGTGGTATGTTATAGACCTAATATAAGGAAGCTAAATTTTAGAACCCCAGACCCCCTGGACCCCTACTTCCTAATGAAAGCATGGATCTGGAACTTTGAGACATGGTAGGTAGTGTTAGGTACATCGTCTGTTATAATTTGGACCATTTCTAACAGCTGGACTGGAGGCCATTAGCACTTCCAAAAATACTTTCAAAAATACCTTAAACAGGAAATAGGCATTTTTTTGCAAAATAAAGACTGAGTGTATATTGATTTTGTGGCGGAAAAAGACACTAGACCCAGGTACCGAAAAACGACCCATCGTGAGTAAATGCATCCGACAACTCCTTCCGGTGTGAACAACCTTCACAAAAAAGTGATCAGTGACCTTGGAAAGGGGATCATTTGGGCGTTATTAGTCGGATATAGTTGAAAATTGTTGAATAGAACGCCCCGTGCTACCCTGTATCTGTCCGAAATTTTTTGATCCCGGTGACCCCGGTTGACTTTTAGTTGACTTTTGCACGTTATGACTCCGAACTGCACAGGAAACCCTTAACATTAACACCGGAAATTGACCTATACCTAAGAACTAACCACAAGAAAATAGTTTTTCAGAGCCAAAAATTATGAGCAATAGGGGGGGGGGGGGGGGGTCATTAAAAAAAATTGATAAAAATGGTCTAAGACTGTAACTTTTGATAATTCTGAGAACGAATGAAAACTTGAAATGTATCACCACAATAAAACAAACTGCACTTGAGAAATTTTAAATTATGGATATCGTTAGATATCTGATTATTTAAGGAAACTGATCTAGTTATTTTGATTATCTGAAACCATATACGCGCTAAAAACATACAGGGAATACACAGAAAAAAAATGAATTGAACTCACTGTGCACGAGTCATTCGGTGAAATTTAACCCTGTTTGCACGATTACATTATAGAAAACAAGATAAACTTGTTTAATTTTTCCAGAAATTTCAAAAAATTTGCTTCATCCAAAATGAATATGTTTCTGATAAAAATACTTGAAAAAAATACGTCAACAAACAGTTTTGTTCACATAAAGCTTTTTAGTTTTTAGTTGTGATATATATTTTGATCAAAAAACCTGTGTGAAACTTTCTTTCAGTAACTTTTTTAAATTGAATTTTTCGGTACAAAAATTTGGTACAAGTTTCGTAAAAGATGTCTGATAGGAAAAGTTTGTAGAAAAAATGGTCGAGCACAAAATAGTCCAAAGGCTGGAAGAATTGATCTCTTGCACCAGAACATAAGAGTGTAACAAAATCGGCGGACCCCTTTGTTGAGAAATATTGAAATTAGTGTTATGAAACTCAGAGGATAATTTGAGAGTACTAGAGATAATTTGACCTGGGCATGGAAAAATTGGCCCCTGGCCCAAATGATTATGGTTTACGTAAGTGTAAATAATCTTATCAGTACTCAAAAAATAGCACTTGGACAAAAAGTGGTATGTTATAGACCTAATATAAGGAAGTTAATTTTAGAACCCCAGACCCCCTGGACCCCTACTTCCTAATGAAAGCATGGATTTGGAACTTTGAGACATGGTAGGTAGTGTTAGGTACATCGTCTGTTATAATTTGGACCATTTCTAACAGCTGGACTGGAGGCCATTAGCACTTCCAAAAATACTTTCAAAAATACCTTAAACAGGAAATAGGCATTTTTTGCAAAATAAAGACTGAGTGTATATTGATTTTGTGGCGGAAAAAGACACTAGACCCAGGTACCGAAAAACGACCCATCGTGAGTAAATGCATCCGACAACTCCTTCCGGTGTGAACAACCTTCACAAAAAAGTGATCATTGACCTTGGAAAGGGGATCATTTGGGCGTTATTAGTCGGATATAGTTGAAAATTGTTGAATAGAACGCCCCGTGCTACCCTGTATCTGTCCGAAATTTTTTGATCCCGGTGACCCCGGTTGACTTTTAGTTGACTTTTGCACGTTATGACTCCGAACTGCACAGGAAACCCTTAACATTAACACCGGAAATTGACCTATACCTAAGAACTAAGCACTGGGAATGGAACGTTATCATTTAGTGGGGACAAAGGCAGATGAAAGATATCTATCGAGGACACGTTTGAAGCTATTGAGCCTAAAACAACATCTTCTTCCTCTATAATGTTGCATTAGTTGATTTAATTAAGATGGACATGGTAAACAATCAGTTCAACTTAACCTTGGAAATCAGCTATTGAAAGAAAATCAACAAGGCCAAATAAAAGTGGTGCCAGAGGAAGCGCGGCATGGGATTTAGGTTGTTTCCGGAGGATTCTTTTTGGCTTAATTTGATCCCTAAAAGACAAACTATGTCCCCCTGATATCAGGAAGGTCGGGATTAGAATAGAGTAAAGATAAAACTTTAAATGCTTGAAGTGAATGAGTTACCCATCAAAAGAGGCTTCCCCTACCCCCGGTAGTTAAAATAAAGATAGTTAAAATAAAGACCTTGGGAGTCTCACTGAGTAAACATAACTGGATTGGGTGATTCAATTGAACGCGAGGGCTAGAGTTTATGGAGGTCAAAAATTAGTTGGTTAAAATTGTATGACCTTTGTTTGCTTGGGTCGACCTGTGACACCTAACGCATACCGGGTATGTGATAAGCGTGACACAAATGACAAAAGGAACTGAACTTGGCAGTTCTCAGTGTTTGCAAGGGTTGGAGTTATTGAACATGTGCGGAGGAGTGATTTCATAAATGCCAGGATTGATTCGAAATAGCATGATTTAACTAAAACTAAATGTAAAAAAATGAGAAACTGGAGAGAACCGGAGTGTTTCCATGAAGCAGAACAATTATGCTAAGGAGCAAAGGAATGGTTTTCATCATCGGTTAGAAAAAAATTGTTGGTATGCAACTAGATAGTTGCTTCTCATAAGAGAGAACGATTGAGCAAGCTGAGAAGTGTAGCTGGTCAGTGGAGGACGCTATTGCTTGAAGCGAGGCTAGCTGAGTTTAGAAACTGGTTGAATTAACTGCGTGAGCGAGTTGCTCTGCTAGAAATGGCGAGTTTGGGGTTGAGTCAAGTGGAGATTAGCGAACGAGTTAACAAAGCGGTTGAACGGAACGATTCTTGGGTTTTGTGCCAGCGATTTGCTGGGAGCGTCAGATGAGAGCCGAAAAGTGCACGAACCAACGGGGAAATTGCGTAATCTCCTATTTAAAAAATTATATTTTTGTGAGAAACTCTTTAATCATAAACTTTTTTCGTCAAGTCCCATCAAAAATGGTTGTCGCCTTAACGGCTGTCATCTTATTTGCCGGTCACTTTTATTCACCGGCCATAAAGCGTGACACATCTTTCCTTTCAGCACTCTCGTACTTTGCCTCTCTTGAACGATCGCTTATTACAAAGTCAAGTTTGCTGTGTATTGTCAATTTTCAAAATGATTCTCGCTAAAATATCTTTATTTTTTTTTTCAGTGCATTTATGTCTCTTAGTATCAAAAGATTCGATTGCAATCGGCGCTATTGAGGACAATTTAACCGCACCTCCAAAGGCTGAGCTTAATTTTATTATATTTTTCAGAAAATTATTCTGCGTAGCGATTAAGCAACACTTCCGCATACGATTAAGCATCACGTGTTTCAATGTGGAAAATATTTGCTTCCCAAAAATTTCATTTTTTTGTTCCTTTTTCTTTTTTTTCTGAAATTTGAAGCTGTTTCATTGTAATATAAAGTCTCCAAACGCTAGTTATAATTACTTCCAAATATCCAATTCTCAAAGCATCCAAAATGCCTCGACTTATGTTTACTCACACGCGACGTTACTTCTAGCAACTCGCTTTTAGTCTATCGCGACTAAGTTTGAGACAATTGCCATCTAAAATCAACATTTTTAGACTTTGTGGCAAACAGTTTTCGTTCTTTCGAAATCTATGTTTTGATTTTGCCGTCCTAAAAAATGACCGTTTCGATCGTATTTAAAATACCAACTGAGACAAACGCTGTTTATGAAAAAGCTCTTCTTCGCCACTCGACAAGCCACTGAGAAAAAATGAGTTCCAACCGCGACGGAGGCTCTGCTGTCAATTCACTTGCGAACAGATTTTCCAAAGTGTTGAAAAGCCTGTTCCGCGGTTTACCTGCTTAACAATTCCGTGTGCAACAATACCGTACACGGAAAGAAATGGGAGGGAAAATGAATATATTGCTACAGCTCTGAATGTCATATAGTAATTTCCCTAGCAAAATATACTCTCATGCACGTGTTGTGTACTAGAGTATTTTACACTATTTTAGAGTATAGTTGTAAAATTATTTGTTTTAAAAGAGGTCATTGCTCCATTTGCTAATTTATTCTTTTCAGTTCGGTCTTTTATAGCTAAAATTCCGTTTTATTTTAGTCAGATGTTTACACAATATATGACATTACGTTCTATAATTAATTTTACGAATGTTTTAAATCCTTAAAAAAAGGTATAAATCCTACACCTTTTTATCGGATTTTTGTTTTGCTTGTACCCATTCTCAATATAAAACAGAATTTGCCAAAATAGTAGAAATTTAAACTCTTGCAGAGGCTGATTTAGTGTGGGGGACGTTCCCTTCCTCAGGGATTCGACACCCTGCCGACTCAAAGGGTCGCCCTTCATACTGTTTTCAGCTATCCATTTTTGGTGACTGACCCTACAACTTTTCTAAACGCGCCATAAACACTACTTTTCGGTCAAAATTTTTCAAAATGTACCTAAAAACGTATTTTTTAGGCATTTTTCAAAATATCAAAAAGTTTAAATTTTCAGGTCCAAAATTAGAAATAAAAATTTAAACTAGAAAATTTTAACTGAGAGACCAAAAAGTTTTCAAACGGTTTTTTGGAGCTACCTCAGCCGAAAATACAATGAGAAAGTTTTTCGTTCGTCGAGAAAGTCGAGACAGTCGAAACATACTCATTTTTGGTCGAGAAAATGAAAAAATATTTATGAGGGGTTGAACAAACGATTTTTTAAAATTTCGGTCGCGAAAGTTGAAACATATCAAACTTTTGTCGAGAATGTCGAAACACAACTGAACCGGGTCGAACAATACCACAATTTGGTCGAGAAAGTCGAAATAGACCAAAATTTGGTCGAGAAAGTCTAAGCAAGCCAAAATTTGGTCGAGAAAGTCGAAACATTCCAAAATTTGGTCAAGACGGTCGAAACATGCCAATTTTTTCGGCCGAGGAAGTCAAAACATATATCGAGCTCTTCGACCCGGGTGTTATAATTTGCTGCTGCTCAGGCTGAGGTTTTCGACACATGATTCCACAAAAACAGTCAAATTTTCGTCGCAAATTAAGACGGTTCGATTAAGACTCGATAAAGTCGAACAAATTCGTTTGACATCGTATGATCGTTTTGGTCGAATCATGAGTCGAGCACCTCAGCCTGGGTAGCAGTCTTATTCACTGTTGTTTGAGTCTGTTGGAAATAGCATAACATTTCAAAGAGCGAAGAAAAAGAGTACAAATTTCACAGCTTTGAAAATCAACAGTTGTATCATAATCGTTTCTTCAGTTTTTCTTGTCGTTATACTTTTAGCATAGTATATTTATAGTGAGCCATGCTCAATGAGTTTACTTTTGCAAAAATCAGAACCGGCCTGAAGGCACAGTCAACTTGAATACTTTTTACATCTTTTTGTAATAAACATACTTTGATAACAGAAGCTCAAATCAACCAAGCATTGCTTTATGAGTTTTATCTCGCCGATGAAGTCCCGAAAATTTGTATCTAGAGTCTACGAAGACCAAGTAAACGGTTTCCGTACTCAATATTTTCAGAGCTTTTGTACAGTCATTTACAGAATCGTCTGCAGCTGACTTTTCAGATCATGACATAAATGTATATTAGACTTGAAATAACAAGTTTGTTCACCGCAAGTAAACAATTAAAACAGTGGTACATCAACAATATTTGAAACATTAAGCCTTGGGCCTTTCGTTTATACCTTCCCCCCCCCCCCCCCCCTCCCGCCCTCATTCATTTTTGGACTTCTGCGGAAAAACTAATACTATAATTTCAATATGCGTTCAATTTTAGCCAGCTACCTTTATTATCAGATACTTTACATATTTTTATTTAAGGATTTGATTGATGGGGGGGGGGGGGGGGTATAAACTAAAAGACATTGAACCAACACTAATCGTGACCCAAAGGAGCCTAAGGGTTGCACCGCACAGCTTTTGATCTTTCCTTAGATCTGTTGATACTGCAAACATCTAGATCTAGACAATCTCCTAAATCGCCATTTGCTGCATAGCGAGTGAACATAACAGTAGAGCAAAGTACACCCTTATTTGTCATTGATTTCGTTTAGTTTGGGTTTGATTAGAACCTTCATTTGGATTTATACTTTCGAGTTAGTTCTGTGGTGACAGGAGTGAAATGGCTACACATAATATCCAAACCAGCTCGTGAGTATAATGCATTTTTGTGAACAGATGTGAACTTTTGCCTCACTTATACATGAGTTTCTACCCAATAGCGGAATATTTTGTGGTGAGGCTCTTGTGAGTTGAATGACAGTCTTTGATGTAATTCTTCTCAAAAGCTCGCTAGCCGCTCTGTTTCTGAAAAACAGAGACTTGGTTGGATACGAATTTTGATTTTTTATGCTGTAATATTGTATACGATTTTTGTTCGGGCTACGTTTTTTCGCTCGATTACGTTTACGCATATTTCGCAATTGGTTCGTTTTCTGTCGTTATTTGGATCCTAAAATGATATTGTCGAGAAAAACAGCTTTATAATCTCAATTTAGGTTTATAAAGCGTATATCAGCTATAATTTCTGAACTTAATTTCAAGTGTCAAGTCAAAAAGAAGCAATTGAAAATAAAATTATTTTTAAAAAACGGAAAAAGAAAATTTTGTAAGAATAATTTTTGTTGTCGGGAATATCCTATGCTAAGCCCAAAAACCAGCTACTCTAATTTAACTCAGAGCGTTGTTTTCTTTGATTTAGATTTAACCTGGCGGATGATGTTGATGACGACTCTGTGGTAACTGACCCGATCAAACTGCTGGCCCTTTTGAATGAGAAGTACCACAGACAGAAGGTGCTCTACTACGAGACCAGGAACTACTACTACAAACTCAACCTATTCGTATTCTTCCTCCCTCTTCTAATTGTTCAAGGTATGCTAAAGGACACTGAAGAAATATATCATCCAGCGTAACTATTGGTTCTCTTTGAAAGTTCCCCAATCCCCCTATCTTACACTATGCTCCACCATTGAGTTTGGCTTCTATACGGAGGGAATTTCTGAATTAAATAATATGGTGCAACTTTTTGATCTAAACGAGACAATGAACGAATTTTTTCTTTGCTTTTTTGTCGTTTTCTCTAAAACTAAAGAGGATATAGGGTTAAATTTTTGTCAAGCTAGTCAAAATGATGAAGATAATTAGAAGAACATATGTGGATAAAAAATTTAAAAGTTTTGCTTCGAAGGCTTAAAATAGCCAGTAAAACTAACTTCAGAGGTTTTTGACTAAGAAAAATCCTCGCGAACAACACAAAAAGTTTGAATTAATGGGCTTAAAATGTTGTTTTTTGGGAAGCTGATGAATTTGACTTACCCTTTATGCCATGAAAAATGACAGATGCCAGAGTTAAAAGAGTTTCTTGGTTCGACGACAAAAAATGGCTAGAGTTTATGAATACTTTACAGAAGATGATCAAAATAATTCAACAGAAGAGCTGTTCCTGCAAATATTTCGAAAAAATTCTGTCCAATCCATGTGCAGGGTTTTCATTCGCAGTTATTTTGTGTGTAAACTGCCTAATTGTTTTTTAAACTCCAAAAAAAAATTAATTTATGAGTCGTTAAAACAGATATGACCGCTTTTTTGACGCCGGACCAAGCAAATATTTCAATTCTGTTATCTGTCGTTTTTCTGTGGCATAAAGATTAAGTTAAGCTTATCAGCTTTCCAAAAAATTAATTTAAGTCCATTAATTCAATTTCCTTGTATTGTTTGTGAGGACGTTTTCACAGCAAAAACATCTCTAAAACTAGTTATGGATAAATGGCTCTATTTTGCCCTCGGAACAAGATTTCTCAATTTTTGGCTTGGTTAGGTTCTTACGAATAGTCTGATCTAAGTTTTGTCCAAATTTGAACCGTATATTTTGAATATTTGCAAAAAAGAATGACAAACATGTGAAAAAAACTGTTTAACTGCTTGTTGAAATCAATAAGTTGTTACTTCTATATCCCGTGACTTTATGACTCGGACCAATTAACTGTTACAATGATTATTTATGTCGTTTTTTTCTCAGCTTAAATAGTAAGTCAAGCTCATCAGCATTCCAAAAAATCAAGTTGAAACCATGGATGACAATTTCTTGTTTGTTTTCTTGTGTTGTTTCCTCAACTCACACAACTCTCTCCGATGATTATTTGTGGAAACTGATTTTGCATGGAAAACAAAAAAAAGAAAAAAACTACTAAAACCACACACTCGAATACAAAGTTCCTCCCAATTTTCCAAATGGTAGAAACAAAAAATGCAGTTTTTGAGTTCTATACATACGAGCTAATGATTTTTGCTCTGATATCGGCGAATGATTTTCACTAAACAAAAATTCAATTTCTTAAGGGAACTGTTCATTTTGCAAAACACAAAAAGAACTGGGCCATTTGATGGCAGCCAGTTCTCTGAATCATAAATTCTCTGAACCGTAAGGTTGAGCGATTCGTGATTTGACATCGGGTGTGCAAACTTTTCAACAAACTTTGGCTTATTAATTTGATACCACCAACATCTAAAATATTTTATCTTCTGAAATTAAAAAAAAAAAAAATTCGGCAGCAAAGCTAGGACAGAACTATGAAATGGTTAAATATGATTTAAGCTCAAAAAACGCTAACTCATTAGCTACAATGGGGCGGAATTTCAAATACAAAAATTTGGCTACCAAAAACAATTTTCCTTTGTTGACAACATTCGCAACAACCAATAAAGACCATATTTAGCCCAAATTTTCTGAGCTGCAGGCGAAATAAGGAAAAAAATGTCAATTTTTTGAAAACTTTGACCAATAACAAGCGTTTTTTGGCGTGCCCCTTCAAATATAATTTAAATTGGTGCCCAGGGCAACCTTAAGGAAACTTTTAGGGCTCGGCTAAATTCTAGGGTCGTCTGGAAGCGTGGTGAGGGGACTCGAACCTCTGAGTTGGACAAATTTATTTTTTTTGGATCTCGCTGACTATCCCCCCCCCCCCCCATATGGTACCTTGTAACGAATATCCCCCCTATAAAGAAAAAATTGAGCAGTTAAGCATATAAGAATTTTTTACCTTGTTAGCTATATGAAAATTTGTGGTCTATTTTTTATTACTGCAAAATTAATTCTTTTATTAAATTGTAATGGGAGAAACTTTACTTTGTCTTCTAACGGTAGGGAGGTTTGTCAACTTGGTCCATTTACATTTTCAGTTCATTTAATGCACATTATGAACATCCGTGGACATCCCTGAAACTGTATGTTGGTCTTTTAAGTAAGCTTGGTCAAGTAAACCGATTCCAAAAGTCCAAATAACCCAATGTGTAAATTCCAAGTTCATTTTGCAAGTTCCAAGTTCATTTTCATACAGTTCATTTTCTGTGGCTCGTGAACTATATGCTTCAAAGGCATCCAATTTTCTTGGGTTTTTCCACAAATCTTTTGTTTACAGAAACGCCAAAGATAGGGAAAGTCTTACGAGATCATCTAACTTAGGTCAAACAGTTGTAGTTTAATCTAAGGTTTAAACAAACGTCTTCAGAAACATTGGTGCCATCGATTGCGCTTTGAGCTAGAAACAAGTCAACTCAAGATGGAGGAACTTTGTATTCGGGTGTTTTAGTTTTTTTTTTCATTTTTTTTTCCACAAAACCAGGTACCACAAAAAATCAGCGGAATGAGTCGAGTTATAAATCATATTAAAGCTCATTCAATCGCGATTCGAACGTCACTAAAATTTTATTAAAAAGCTTCTCAGTGTACAGAAAAACCGGTTTGAATTTTTTTTCATTTTTGGTCTAATTTCGAGATAATAAGGTTTGTCAAAATAACGTCTGCAGGCTTAATATAGCCTATCGAAGCCGTGAAAAATTAGTTTTACTCGAGTAAAGTTAGTTTTTGAAATTTTTGCGCCATTTTGGGAATCAAAAACTTCAAAAATTCAACAAAAAAAAATCTGCCAAAAAAACAGAAATTGTTTTAAATTTTTAAAAAAAAATAATTTTGTTTTTCCAATGATTTTTCTACTTGACTTTGACTATCAAATATACTTAATTTCTATTGTTTTATTCATATTTTACTATCACAAAACACCAATCCAAGGGTCCCCCTTTTTACTATTTTAAGATCTCCATTTTTGGTTGATGGACCCGAATTTTTTTTCGGTGATATGTTACAATAGGTGGTAATTTGGAGTACAGTGCATGTATTAAATTTGAGATCTATAATTTATAATATAGTCATTTCCCTTTCAATCAATTGTACGACTACTAAGATAGTTTTTGTAAATACATTACTCTGCCAGATGAAATTCTATTCAAAAATTCAAAGCTTATTTCTTTTGCCAAAAAAATGGGCTTTGGAAACAAATTATAAGTAATCTGCGAACTATAACAAAAAGCGATCCAGCTATTCAAATTGAACCTACCACCTATTGTAACATATCGCCTTTTTTTTCTAATGGCGCGAATATATACTAAATTTGAGAGGAAAGCGTGCACCTCGATTTTTTTTGAAAACCCGCCACCTCGGGAAAATCCTAGATCCGCCCCTACTATGAAACAGTATGATAAGCATTTTTCTATACGAAATTTTATGACACGCACTTTTACAGAATTTTGAAATGCTTTTTCTTTACTTCACGAAATTGTACAGAAAGCATTTTAGTGAATATTGAGGCATAAAAATTAAGACCCACCCATAAAGCGTGCCATCTCTAAACAAAGAAGAACACAGAGAAAACTTTAGAGGTTGGGAAACCTCGACTGCGTTTTCTACAAACTCCCCGGGTTGACCAAAAATGCTTATCCTACAATTTCTATAATGAAAAAATTCTTATTCTACAATTTCCTACAGTTTCATAGACTCAGAAAATTGTAAAAAAACTCTAGGATAAGCATTTTTTCATAAATGAAAAGTGTAGGATAAGCATTTTTTCATAAACCAAAAAATTGATTTTTTCTAAGTATTATTTCTCAAAATTTTTGGGATGTGTTCGTGACCGAACACAAGTGACTAAACCCATGGTGTACTCAAAACTTGAGTTCCCAAAAGGTTGATCGTCTGTCATTGACAATGCATTACAAACGATCTGAATTGTAAAAGTGATTTCTTCACAAATGATATAGTGAAAGCATCAAACTTTTAAAATTTGGCAAAATTTTTCAAAGATGATTTTTTTTTAAATTGAATTTTCAACTGATCAAACATTGATCAAGGCATACATAAACATGCGATACAAAAAAACAGGAGTTTTTAGCCTGTTTAAAAAAAGTTATCCAGAGAAACGGAAAGAACTCCAATTTTTGTGCATCGTGGACTACGTTATGCAAACAAAAAATTAAAATTTGCATGCAAATTTTTTTTGGAAAATGGTTGTCTGAGGTTTGTTTTGGAAAATTTGATTTGAGGTTGAAAAAAAAACGAAAAAATTTTTGGGGCATTTTCAATTTTACTTGGAAATTTTTTTAGAAATTGTATGAAAATTGTATGATTGGCATTTTTCCATACATTTGATGTAGGCAATTGTATGATAAGCGTTTTTGGTGTGGGGAAATGTAAGGTGAGCATTTTCGGTTTATGGAGGTCAACCCGGGTCTCCTCAAGTTTCCTCGAGTTTCCTAGAAAATTGAAACTGGAAAATTTTTAGTCCTAAAGGGACTATACCATGTGCAGCCTAGCAAAAATGAAACTATACAAAATTTATGATGAAGGTCGAAGCCGAGACGAAGCTCCACATTCAAGTAGTATCTAAATTTACATTTCCAAGTTGTATTTGAGCTCTGCATTCTGAATTTCTAAAAAATACTCTAATTCAAGAAGCGCGGTAATTTTTGCTCGATTCTTATAAAATTGTAGAGCTCAGCTGATTTTTTTTTTTAAATTCTTTTTCCTATTCTTTTTTCATTTTTTTTCCAGATTCATTTTTTTTTCTTTTTTCAAGATTTTCTCCGATAAGTTTCGAATCGCCTTGTAGAACCTTGAGTCTCCTTCTTTCTTAGAACTTGACAAGTTCAACTCACTTATTCTTCGTTTTGTTTGTTTGTTACAGGATTGACGACAGTGCTTACCCATATGTCATCAAACAACATGACAGGATACCATGACGAGGTCAAAATAGTAGTGGCCACACTCAATGGACTCTCTTCTGTATGGGCTGCAGCACAACTAAAACTGGGGTCAGTCTAAAATATTAAGGCCTTTGCTTTTTCATTAATTAAACAAGCTGAGGTCTAACCCAGTGCTTAAATATTTAAAACTATTCAAGCAACGAACTGCCTGCAACTGGTCATCTCGCAAAACGCAGTCCAGTATAACCATATGAAGAACAAGTTTTGAGGCAAGCTCAATTTAGATCAAAATCGGGGCTAGGCTTATTTGCCGTAGTTCTGCGCAGTTTAATTTGGTGAAATTGGCAAAATAGCCAATTTTAAAATCAATGAACACGTTCTTCTTTAAACAGAGGTGGCACAAAAAACAGAGGTGACATGTTTTCCAGGTGGCACAAAAAAATGAAAACTTTTTTTGAAAAGTTGACGTTGAATAGAAAGAAAAAAGTTACCCACGCATGTTTTCCCGTGAAAAAGTCCAAAACACAAGACTGTTCTTCTTATAAAAATTCCGAATTTTTTTCCTGCTTTAAGGCGCCATGTTTCAGTATAGTTAAGAAATAGCAAACGATTTTTTACCAACATTTTGAAGTTTTTCCCATTACAAGCTATCTTGAGTGATAAGATCTCCGTCTAATAATGCTTTATTAGCTTCAAGCGCGGATCTAGGAATTTCTCGAGGGGGGGTGGATTTTCAAAAAAAATTTGAAAATTTTGTCAAACTTTTTTTTACGTCGATCAAATTGATTTTCTGAGCTCTCCAAAAGCACTGTAAAGCGCTAATTAGACCAAATTTTCTGCGCCGCAGGTAAATTTTTGAAAAAAAAGGCGTTTCTAGGCACTTTTTGGAAAATGTCGACCAAAAAATTGCGTTTTTTCGGCGCGCTCCCCCATCAAAGTTAAAATCTAGAGGGTAGATTGGCGCCGAAGGCGCTTTTAGAAATATTTTAAAGTCAGTCAGCAAAAAATGGATATCTCAAAATAGTACAAGGGATGGACGCTTTGGGTCGGGAAGGGATCGAATCTTTGAGAGGGGGCGTCCCCCCTAAATTCGCTACTGATTAGGTTTACCTAAGAAGTTACTTCATTTCAATTGGAATTGATTTTTGAGACGGATTAATTCGCTGCCTGCAAAAAGCAATTATAAAAAAATTAGAAGAAAAGCAATCTTTCTAACCTTTCCCACGCCAATGAGCTTTGACATGATCTGACAAAAAAATTGGATTCATGAACCAGTTACCGCGCTCCAGCCAACGATGAAGTATTTGGAAAAAATGAGCTGTGCATAAAAAACATAGAAAAATTGAAAGTAAGGAATCAAGCGTGTTGAGACATTAAAAAAAAATCTCAATAAAAGATCACTCGCATTAAAATACAATTCGAAACATATTCACTTGTTGGAAGTGTCGCAATCTAATATTGAGGGTAAGCGTTCAATTTAATACATGACACTAAAAATTGATTAAAAAATGGCCTTCAAGTGTACAAAATATTACCAATTTGAAAGGTTAAAAACAACCAATTTAACTAAAGAGATTTCTTAGCGATCGCTAACGCTCCGAAAAGATCTAGTAGTCTTCAGAAAGAAGACAATCCCTTGATGAATTCATAATCAAGCTAGTCTTGTACGCCAGAGTGTTACACATGCGATAGTTGAGATTTAGTGCTAAAAATTTTGGAATTTTTTGGTGTACTTAATTTGTTTATAACTGCTTTTTTGGAAACACAACTTTTTTTTGCTTTCATGATTGTGTTGATCTATGAAAAGTTCTAAAACTTCCATTTAAAAAAATGCTGTAGCCTTACGGTGTCTTTTTAAATCAGTGCTACAATACACGTTTATCCAATTTGAATATAAATGACTGATAGGCTCGATATAATTGAGCGAGTTTATTGGCAATATACGTATTTTTGATAAAAGATTTTTTGGCTGCACTGCATTGCTACAAGATTTTTATGTTTTTTTCCTTTTTCTTGACGCAATTGTTTTAAGAAAGGATCCTCAAAAAGAACTTTCAACGTTGTAACGTTTTTGTAGTTTTTTAATTGTTTATGTTAAATATTTTTTGTTAAAAAGTACAAAAAATCCATGAAAACTGTTTTTGAAAATTCGAAGTTGCTCAGCTCAGAAGGAAGAAAAAACTAACCAAGTAACTTTTCCGTCATAAACTTTAGAAAACTCTGATTTTTGTCTCTGCTATAACGCGTCATAATTCAGTTCAAATAAAAAAAGAAAATTTTTTTCTAACCTACATTTAGAAGTTGATTCCATTACAAGTTATTTTGAATGAAACATTTAAAGTCTGATTATGCGTTATTAGGTTTTTTTAGCTTGCCTCAATTCGATCAAATTTGATTTTTGAGAGGGATGAATCAGCTGCCCAGAAATAAGCTTTAATCTAAAATTCGAGGATAAGCACGCTTAAACTATGACAAATAATCTACATTAGTTAGCAGATCTACATTAGTTAATCTACATTAGTTAAAAATTAATTTTGAACGCAAAATATTGAAATCGTCCAGGTGGCAGAATAGTTTCCCCGTTGCTCAATACGTAAAACTTGGCTTGAGAAAAACCGCGACAAGCGAAAAATAGATATTGCAAGTTTTTTAAATAAAAACAACAAGTAGACTGCTCTTCGTCTTGAGACAAAGAGCAGATTTTTTTCCTTAAGTTTCGAAAACGCTGAACTTTGTCACTGCCCTTATTCTTGCAAGGAATGTGCAATAAGTTTGCTTAAAAAATTTCTCTTGAGAAAGTAATGACAAGTGATGAGAAACAAATATAGATCTACTCGAACTGATAACCACGCTCCAATCAACTCGGACTGCATGTGAATTGACTCAGTTTGTGGCTCTTAAATAGGTTGCCCATACGCGTTATTGCTCTGCACTTTTTGAAACAGAATCCGGTCTACGGTAATCAATTGGTATACCCAATTTAAATTATATCAGCTGGAATTCGATTTGAAAAATCTTTTTCAAAAAGTTCATCGGATTCTTTCCGATTTTCAAACTAAATTTCAGAAAAAAACTTTGAGACTGAACAGTTTAAATCGAGTTTCCAATCCAATTTTTTGAGGTTTTTATCAATTATATAGAAACTGTTGGCTGTTTTTTTTTCTGGCTGATCAACCAACCCAGTCGGTTGCCTGTTCATACTAATTAAAATAAAGCAGCAAAAAAATCAACATTTTTTTGAAAATGTCAATTTCCATTTCTTTTTTTTTCTGATTTTTAAAGTCAGAAAAAAAATTAAAATATCCATTTCTTACCTTTTTCTAGTTAGCTATCTTCTTCTTGCTTATAGACGCACATTTTTAGTTACATGGATGAAACGCGTATAAATAATTCCTACTCGTGCTGACAAGAATCGGAAAAAGGGAATCTAATTTTTACAGATAATGTAGCAAATACCTATAAAAATTTTCATTCAAGTCTGAATTGAGTTATATCCATTGTACATTTTCAAACATTGGAGAAAGCTGGAAAAAAATTGCAGGATAGTTTTCTCTTTTTGTGTAGATGTTTGGCCTGAAAAAACTCTAAGTATAACGAATGTTTGCATTTTCTGCAGCAAAAAGAATTGTCGTAAAGCTACTTTTTCATTTATTTGGCAATTGTCTAACCTAAATGCGTCTAGAACGCTGATGATGAAAAAGCCATTTGGAGAAAATATTGCATAATTTTACTTTTCATACCCCTGAGCCCTTAAACTTGCAAAACTCAAAAGGTTCCCTTTATCTCAATAGTTTGCGGTAAAAAAACTCGAATAACTCTTGCTCGCCGTAGCTCTGATTGAGATTTTTCTTGAGTAGAAAATTTTGCTCAAATTTCAAAACAAAAAGAATAATTGAATGAAATATTTTTTTTGTAATTTTGATGGATTTGACTGCCTAGCACAAATCTATTGTTTTGTTAAAGTAAACTTCACAATTCGAGGATAGAGATTGTAGTAGATTGTTCATATAAGTCGAATAAGAATCAGATTCCTCAGCGGAATCAACTTCTGATTTTGCTTTATGCTCGTCCGCTTTTTGTTACAGTTGAAGCTTACTTTTAAGGTGGGTATCACGCATATCAAGTAGAGACCACGTTCTCTCTCAGATTCAACCTCAAGAATGCTTTCATCAAGAGAATTACCGGGAAATACGTTTGAGTGTAAGATGAACTAATTTTTCCCCAATCTGGACATTATCAAAAATCTTTGTAGAAGCCCGTACCGAAAATGACTGCTGTGATTTAAACTATGATTCATTGTTGTCAAAAGTGTATTTGCGAAAGCTATTGGTTTTCGAGCTACTTTCGAGAATTGTATCTGGTTTACTTGTTCAACGCTTTGATTTCTTTGTTCCAACTCCCAATTGTTTCCGGGCTGCTCTTCTTCCAACAAATTTTGCAAATGTTTTTTTCTTGCGTTCTTCAACAATTTTTCCAATCTCTGGAGAGCCAAAATTTTGCAGCTGGGACTATGTGGTTTTATTAAAGGGGGTTAATAAAAAACTTATTCCACGTCGTGCATATCCACAAAAAATGGGAAAATAGCGGAGTGTTGAGCAACTGTTTTGTATAAAACATACTCCAGACACGATTATGCAAATTTTTCTGGAATATGTAAACAACTCGTGTAGTTCTCACGGATGCGATAGTAATTTTTTCGCCAGTATTTAAGTGTTCAATTTGATACTATGGAAATACTTTTCAACCGTTTTTCAAACTGAATTTCGTAACAGACTGATAATTGATGCAGTGTGCCATAGATATTAGGTCTCCATGTTCTCTTGCTTAGAAAATGAAAAGAATGCAACGGAGTAAATGAATCTTAGTATCACCGACTGTTTTGTAATCGTTTATATCCTTATATATCATCAAGTATTGAGATTTTTCAATGTCTTTGAATACTGAGAGTAATGTGGTCCTTTTTATGTGGTCTTTTTGTGTAGATGTTTGGCCTGAAAAAACTCTGAGTATAACGAATATTTGAAATTTCTGTCGCAAAAAAAATTGTCGTAAAATGACTTTTTCAGTTATTTGACAATTGCTTAACCTAAATGCGTCTAGAACGCTGATAATGAAAATTTCATTCGGAGAAAATATTGCATAATTTTACTTTTCATACCGCGTAAGCCCTTAAACTTGCAAAACTCAAAAAGTTACCTTAATCTCAATAGTTTGCGGTAAAAAAACTCGAATAACTCTTGCTCTCCGTAGGTCTGATTGAGAATTTTTTAGTACAAAATTTTGGTCAAGTTTCAAAACAAAAATAATAATTGAATGAATTATTTTTTTTTGTGGTTTTGATGGATTTCACTGCCTTGCACAAATCCATTTAAATCGATTTAAATCTTTGTTAGGCAATGAAAATTAGCTTTTATCTGCCGTATAAATCCTTTCAACTCATTATGAATCGATTTACGTATCTAAATGCGCTGCAGTAATTCTAATTTTTTATTCAGTATATTATGGGTAGGAAACTCGATTTCATTCTCAAACTTGTCATTGCGGGAACAAATGGCACTTATCGACTATTTTTCAGCAGGCAATTGGAAAATTGTTTGTTGGTGAAATATGTAGAATTAGGGGATCTTCTCTTTGCGAAGCTGTCCCTTTGGCAGTGAATTCAGCGGGGAGACCGAGATTCACTACTTTCTAAAATCCCGAAAGGGTTATTTTGGTGGCAACAATTCTGTTTTGTTTTATGTTGCTTGCCCCTCTGTGTATTGCTCTTCGGCTGTCTTTTCTCGTCTACTCGATACAATCGCAGGGTTTCCAATGATAAATTAATGTATATTATTATACGTCCAATTACAGAAGGCTCTGAGTGGCCAGGATATAATCTAATAATAAAGTCAAAGGGAAGGGTCTGCGATTTATCGGCCAAACTGCCTAATTGCAATTAATTTCCAACTTACTCTACTAACACTAACTATTCTCTCTCTCTAGAGAATCTCTGATGAGAACTTATTATTACTGGTCTCATACTTTGAGAACCAACTATTCGATTTACTCGCAATAATTCTTCTGTGACGAGAACCCACTACTCTTAATAGTAGCCAACATCTGTTCTGACTCTTACAGGCTCTCCGGTACCCTCAAATTCCTTATCTTTCTCTACACTTAGTTTTAATTAAGTCACGCCGTTCGCTATCAGTCCTGACATCCGCTTAAATTACCCGTTCGCACATGTTTCAAGACTATATCACTCCTCCTGTCAACTCTGCCACGTGCCAACTTCGGTTTCTTTATCAATCTTTTCACGCTTATTGGATACCCGGTATGTGGTAGATGTCACAATTTGACCGAGCAAACAAATGTCATACTTCAGCTCTCGAGTTCAACTCAACCTCCAAACCATGCTATGTTTACTCAGTCTTTATTCCCAAGGTCTTTATTTTAATTATTCCGTTAACGTTCCGACCTCCCAAGGGTAGGGGGAGACCCTTTTCATGGGTAGCTAATTAATTTCAAGCATCTCAAATTTCTATCTGTACTCTATTCCAATCCCGACCTTCTAACTATCAGGGAGTCGCCGGACGGGTTCCAATCACTAGGGGTCTTTTTTCGGCAATGAGTTGCAGTATCTGATCCCGCCGTAAAATCGGTATGCCCTCGCTCAATATTTTGCGTAAGGTGCCTATTTCCGGTCTAGCGGGGTGTTTTTTCAAGTGCTAATAGCTTCCGGCCCAACCGCCGGATTTGGTTCAAATTAAAACAGCTGATGTACCTCAGTGCTACCTATGATCCCTCCAAGTTTCAGCTCCCTGCGATCATTTGAGGCCGAAAACCGACTTCCGGAAGTTACGGGTGGGTTTGTTTACTTAGGGCATAAAACCGGAAATGGGGGTCTTAGGTGTCTGGGGTTCTAAACTTAAGCTCCCCTTAACTAGGCCTACAACATACTAAAGTTTGAGCCCAAAACCGCCGCTAATTTCCGAGTTCTGATAGGGCCATTTACACTTCCGGGGACCGTTATCACTTGCCCCCCCAAGGGTCTGAGGGGTCCCGTTTTTTGTATGCCCGGGTCAAATCATCTCTAGTATCCGTCCTATGAGTTTCATAAACCTAGCCGCTGTAGTTCCCATTTGGGGGGGGGGGGTTCGCCGATTTTGTCAAATTTTGTTTTCTGGCATAGGAGGGACTATATCTTTGAAGATTTAACTATTTCGAACCTTACCCTTTGTTTGCTGTACTACTTAACTTAATGACGAATCAATCTTACGCTCAGGTTACTATAGCATGTAATACAGAAAAGTCACCAATTCTACAAAATATAATTTAAAATGACATTTTGCTGACGAACTTTTTCTGATGCAATTTTTATTCGAGTTAAATAATCAAGACTTCTTTTTTGGCCAGATGGAACCACAAGAGGAATTCGGCTAATTCGACCCTGATCAAGTACAGAGACATGAGTGCTCACGTAGCCATGTTTTACACCATCATGAACTGCCAGAAACAAAAATGTGAGTACCTCTTACACACAAGGCCTAATTAGTGTTAATTTCCAGCAAAATCATCTGACCATTCACTTATATTAGAAATAAAGAGTGTCTCGTCGCATATATATTTTTTTGGCTACGGAATGGATTTCATAGGTGCTAGCAATTTAGAGGTGAAAGCAGACGGCTTTTCCGTATAACTCAACATCGTTTCCTTTCGAATCGCCTTTTTTGCACTGTTAGAGTATATTAACAAATTTTAGTCAACCAACCATTACTTTTTCCGACATTGGTGTCTAAATAAAATTGGAAGAGAAATCAAAGCATGGCAAAAATCGCAAACTGCTCAGTCACGAGTTTCAAAAATTGCCCAAAATATCATTTTAGGCACGTGAACTCAAAAACTCACTGACGACGCAGAAAACTTTCATAGAGGATGGTTGCAATCGCTCAACATCCATCTCCACAAATTAGTTGGGGGGGGGTTTGGCTCAGTTAATGAGAATCGAGCGTTTTATTTGTAACAATTAGCAAATTTAATCTCAATTAAATGCTGGAGTGGAAGATATTAACTTGGTATATCTGAGGGGAAGGATGTAATTTTGATCCGAATGTTGTTTTTAGTTTTGCAGCAAATGATGGAGACAACAGTCTTAATTTGCTTTCAGCGATGGAGGGTGTGGTTGAGTTTGTGGAGAGCTGCTACCAGAACGAACAGAGCATCATGCAGAATGAAATCATGATTCCCACCTTCATTGCCAAGGCATACGATGAAAACAAGATTACCCCCGACAACACTCTGGGCAAAATGGAGAAGCTAGTCGTGAAGCAGATGGATTGCGAGGACACAGTGCGTGGTGTTTTTTGCAATTCCAGTTCCAATTGAAATATATTTCTTTTTGATCTATTGATTAAAACTCAAAAAAAGTGTCGATCATAAAAAAGTTCTTGTGCACATTGACCCGACATTTGCAGTGAGTTAGGTTCGATGTGGTTAAATCATAGAGTAATTTCGGATAGGGTACACCGTCTGCTCGTCACGCTATCTTATTTTCGGCCGGATAGATTCGTGCAACTTCTTAGTCTAATACCGATCCTAATCTTACTCTTATACTTTCTAGTCTCAGGGTGTTTAACTAGTCTCTGCTAGGCTCAATAGATCTAGGGTATACTGGTTTGTTGCGGCTGCTGAAGTTCTCTTGGAGAGACAGCTAATTTCTAAGTTAAATTCAAATCTCTCTGGTGCTGAAATTACAAGTAATTTCAGCACTTACAAATAAGTGGGTTGTTAGTTAGATGGATCATGATTGGTTAATATTAAATACTTTACAGTGGTAAAATATCTAATTTATCCAATCATAAAATATAGTTTAGATCAGGTTCCACCCATCCGGGTTTTACAGAGTTTTTTAGAATTATCTTTCTGCAATTCAAAGGATGGATGATGAACGTTGGTATTTGGCGAACATCGTATTCTTGTCCGGTTCCTCTTGTTAGAGAAGTTCCAGGACGCTGGAGTTAGGGACATCAATCGTTGTGTCGTCTTGTGACAACGACTGTGTTTCCCAATGAAATCAATCTGATTTCAAAATAGTTTGCTATGACGGGTTTTTCTGTATTATGTAGAGAACTTGTTTTGTGTTCAACCTCGTCTGGGAATGGCGTGGAGATTGTGTGTGGAAGGGATGCCTTGTAACTCGGATTTGTACGTATACTTGAACATCGAGGTGGTCATTGGTCTATTTCAAAGAAGTCCTTTTCTGCGAAGTCAAGTCGTACTCTAAATCCTTTGAGTTGTGATTGTGGACGGCATATCGGTTGTGGTTAGCCATTCTTGTTCGAGTGTATTGGGATCATTTTGTCTTTGGATGTTCGTCTTTGTTGTTGTGTGTTGATCTATATACTGCAAGGTATGATTTACATTTTATAAACTTTTTATTAGTTTGGTTTTTTAATCATGAATTTAGTTAGTTGTTTTCACAAAAGCATTTTGTTTTAGTTCGGTTATTTTGAAGAGTTACTCATCCTTGAGTACCTCTTATTAAAAATAGAAGTGTGGTCACAAAGCGTGGATGTAGCGCGGTGGGTTAGGTCGGCTATAGAGCATGCTCAGGACGTCCTCTCTGGTGGGTTAGGCCAGGAGTGGGAGTATGGTTTCGTGCGGTTTCTTTGAGAGGTCCTGTTATGTGATAACGTTTTATGTTGGGTTTATGTTGGTCTTTCTTATGTTTCTTTGGTTGTGTCCTTTTTTTAAAAATCAAATTGTTTTTGTTGTGGGTTTGTCTTTCGACTTTTTTGTGTTTTATTATTTCTTTCTTAGACTTTATAATAGTCTTCAAAAGAATAAATTATCCAGTTTTAAACAGGGTTAATCCGGTTTGGGTACCGTTGGTTTTCTTTTCTTAGTCATGCTGTTATTTTATGATTTGTGGTGTTTAGTAAGCTGCGTTGGTTAGTTTGGTTTAGTATATAATTCCTTTCCAACCGGGTTAAAGGAAAGTTTGAAACTTGTAATCGTGTGTTAGAGTTGTTGAGTGTGAAAACTTGAAACTCAAAATCACTATTTAAACAATTCTTCGTGGGCAAGCTGTGCGAGTTTGGATAGAATTCCTGTGCGAGTGAATGAAAATATCAAAAGGTTAGTACTGCATTTTCTTTTTATCAATTTGTTACATAGAATTTCAATTTTACTGCTAGTTTTGGGGGAAATTTAAAGTTATAAATTTTCATCATAATTAAATTTACTGTTTTATGGGGGAATAATTTATAAATTAATTTGCTACATTTGGTATGAATTTTATCAGATTATCTTGTGTAAAATATTAATGAAGTTTAGAAGAATTTTAACAAGTTTATTTTTTATTTTTCTTTTCTATTTTTTGCAGATGATCGTGGACTAAAAATGTAAACGAACAATGAGTAAAGAATGGTTAGGACTAATTTTAAATTTATTAGTTAAGAATATTTTTAAATTATACTTACCTGTTAATCGTCTGGGAAAAAGCCGTGGGGAAAGATGTCGTGTATTATGTCCGAATTTGTTAGTAGTTTTGCTAGTATGCGAATGATGTTTTTAGTTTGGAGCAGTGGCCAAAGCAAATGAAGTGCTCTAATGGTTTTTAGTTCTTCGGTGCCTACTGCAAACTCATAAGGTGTGTTTTGAATGAGGTTATATATTTTGTGATTATATTTAGTATTGTGAATGAATTCTAATATTGGGATTTCTATAGGTTGGATAAAATCATGTGGGATAAGGAAGGGTCTGGATTCTTCGGCATTAAAGGTCTTCGTGATGGGACAAAATATGTACATTTGTGTTACTGAGTCATAATTGCGGAGGATGCCGTGGAGGTTAGTATCCTTGATGCAATAGGTGAAATTAAGAAAAAATGATGAAGTGTACTTCGAGTTAAGAAACTGAAAACGATGGTGTGGTTGTCTTGACGGAGTATGTAAATCAAAATGATTTTGTATGAAGCGATAGTATGTATATGTATGAGTCTGTTTAGTGCGTAACATAATGCCGTGTGAACAGTGCAAATCGCGTTCATGTGGTGCAAGGAAGTGAAAGGTTAGTGAAAATAACTGAAATTTTTCTTTAAAACTTTCGTAAGCATGAATATCAGTAAGTGCTTCAGAAATGATGTGATCATATTTTCTATCAAAAATATTAAGTTTGAATACATATGACGTTTTGATGAAGAATTTTTCTGTTAGTTGTGGGTTAGCGAAGCGGTCGTCATCTAGAAATTGGTCTTGATTAGTTCGAATGATATTATGGTCGTAATATTCTATTGTAAATTCGTTAGCTCGGGGTGCAGTGAATGTTTTTAGTGATTTTTTCTATCCTATATAAGTAAATTGTCTAGGTGTTAGTGTTGCGGTGAGTCTATATAGCATATCTTTATTCTTTTCTATATCGTTATGAGTACTAGATAGTGGCAGGCAAAGGGGATTAGTAAAATGGTAATAAGCTGTCCAGTGAAGTGTTGGCATTAAAACATGTTCATCTACAAAACTACGTGTGTCGTTAGTGTCGTTAGGTGTGTTTAAAGTATATTGTGGGAATGAGGGTAAGGTGATTGCTAGAAAATCTTTCGTGTTGGTGTGGTGTGGATGATTAATATATTCGCAGGCTGTTTCTGGTTTGGTCGGGAATGGATGGTTCGGGAATTTTCTTTTAAAAGTGCGATAAGCTCGGTGAGTGCTATTTGATGATTCGGTGGATGTGGATGATTTTGCTAATGATGCAGTGTAAGCTGAGGAGGGTGTAGGAGTAGGTGGGTTTGAGGATTCTATTGTGGATGAAATTTGATTTATAGTGAGGATGTTAGGGTGTATTAGCTGTTGTTGTAGGGTGATAAAATTATCGAGTTCCTGGGAGATTTGGGGGGTATCTGGAGAATTATTAGATGATCGGTCGGAATGAAATGGAGAATAGGTTGGGGTTACTTGTGAAGCATAAGAAGGAGTAGAAACTGATGGGAGCGGGTTATTTGGTGGGAACGATTGAAAAGGGGGTTTTGAAAAAACTGAGGAGTTGGTTTGAAAATTATTGGATGGAGATGGTTCGGAGTCTGCAAATTCGTCAGGGTTTCTATATTAGGGTTATTAAGTTGTGAAATGGAGTATAAAACTGAAATATCTGAATTAGTATCCGAATTCATGCTTGATGATATATTAATAGTTGTAAAATCGGGTGGCGGGAAAGCAAAAAGTGGGATTATTGGGATTGGAGTGTGGAGGTTGGTTGGATGGGAATTTGAGCGGTGTAGGGATCCAAGTTGTCGGCTCATCGTGGGCTAAAAAAATGATTATTTTGAGACTGAAAGCGGTGGTATGGGGTTGTTCTATAATTTGTTCATATGTCTTATCATCTTGTGAATGATGTGTCATTATATGTTGTATGGGACTTTGCGATTTGTTTTGTCTAAAATTTGGGTTATGTGTTATTGCTAGGTTTCGGAAATTACGTGGGACTAAGGATAATGGATGGTCATGTGGTAGGGGTGGCAACTGTGGTGCGGTAGGTGTTACTTCTATGTATTATGTTCTTCGTCGTATGTGTTCTGTCTTGTCGCTATTTTT